AAAAAAATTCGGAAAGAGATTGTTAAAAGCTCAAGCCGCGAACAAAATTGAGCGAAGAGATGCGATTCAAAAGGGAAAAAAACTAAAAAGAAAAAACAAAAAAAAAAAAACTGGACGCACGCACAGAACAACGACAAAAAATCGTTTCACCCCAAAGCGGTTGCCCACGAAAAAAAGCAATTAAAAAAATAAGATAAGCTAAACAAAAGAGTCTGTACGCATGTAAAAAATATAAAAGAAAAAAAAAAAATCCAGCGCGCTGTTACAAAGCGAAAGCGAAAAGATGAGAAAGAAAGAGGAGCTCTCGCCTTACAACGAATTACGCGTCGTTGAAGTTCGTTGTAAATGGTTTTTGCTATGTCGAACCACTTACTATATCGAACTGATCGTAGCGTTTCCTGCTGTTCGTTATAAGCGGATTTGACTTATATCTTGTATGATTCACATGTTTTTATTGGACACAATAAATTTCTCATACAAATGGCTTTTTCACTAGGGATGGAGTTCACCTGGGCTTCGCGCATTTCCCGGCAGGGGCTCTTTCTTCTTTTTTTTTTCTTCTTTATAAAACACAATGCATAAAAATAAAAAAAAAAAGGATTCACGGTCTCGTGGCAAGCCACCTCCGCCGGTAATGAATTCCATTCTGCAATAGTTTGTGCAAATAAAATAAGAGTGTTTTATAATGTTTGTCCTGGAGAAATACGGCTGAACCTTATAACAATGGTCTGTACGAGCAGACCGGTGAGATGGTGAATGCAGAGAGTTCGCAGCACAAATTCCTGTTTGATTATAATAAATCGAATAAAATAATTTAAGGCGCTGCCTTTTACGCCGCTCGTTTGAATGCCCCCATCCAGTTCCTTTCTCATTTCAGTTGTGCTACTGAAACGATCGTATCTATCCAGGGCAAACCGAGCAGCGACAATTTCAATAAACTGTTGCTGCTTATCAAGCAGCAGCAGCAATAAAGCTATAGCAAAGCGGGCGGCACTTTGCGAGCGGCCATTACGAATTCTTCCGAGGCGAAATGCCCGGCGAGAAAGGAAGTCACGGTGTGCGCGTCGAGGGGGTGGCAAGGCTGGCTTCCGGTCGAATCTGCCGAAATCGGCGGAGCGACTTTTCTCGGATCCGGATCGAGATTTCGAGTGGGAGCTGTTCCAAAACGACGAGTGGAACACGACCGCCCCGATCCCGATCGCCCAGTGAAATAGGCGCGCTCCAGAAAAGTCAATCCCGGCGCACTCCAAAACGACCTGTGGAATTCGCCCCAAGATAACGATTGGCTCTTAAACTTCGGTACGTGCTTTGGACCGCTAGTGCTGCGTTTGGGGGGAGACTGGGAGTTAGGCGGTGGATAGTTAATTACGTTTGCGATGAAAAACCACTGTAAATATGTTTCGGGGACACGCTGTGTTTGTGCAAGGAGGACATGTTAAGTTACTCGTCACTTTCTTGCTTAATCTTTTTTTTTAATTTTTATTTATACACTCCCGTAACTAAGGGGCATGCCAAGGTAGTAAAACACTTGAGAATTCACGGCCAAAATGAATGCATAAGTGTGGTACCAAATCATGCTTAATTGGTGCACAACACCACTTTTTTTAAAATAAAGAATACTCTGCACAAAGAAACAACGCGGGAAATACACGTGACTGTAATTTCCTCTACAAATACAAAAAAAAGCCTCATGTATTTATTAAACATGAAATCAAAATCCTGGCTACTCATACAATGGGCATAAAAACGAGTGCGCTCACTATGATGCGGCAATAGACCTTTTGCTAAAATGCCCAAGCACCAAGGAGCGTGCCGTGAATGCAGTTACTCGCACCGCACGTGCTGGAGTCTGCAGAAGTAACTGTTCTGAAGCAAAAGTTTGTCAACGCCCCATTTTGGTTATTTATTTCGAATCATTTATAAGAAGATGGTAAGCGCATGCTCCGCGTTTACATACATTCCCAGCATTCTCCTGAGTGAGTTCCATTCCTGTACGGTACTTGGCAAAAATAGGCATTTAGCCTGTTCTGAATATTATTTCAGTGAGTGTTTTGATGTGTTTGTTTCTTGTCGCTGTGAATGTATTAAAGGGATACTACAACGAAATTTCGGCGCTCATTTTTTGGTCTATATGTGTTCAAAAAAACAGCATCATATCGAACGTACCAATATCTTGTTAAAAAAGTCATGAAAAGGAATTTTAAAACGAATTAAACGATTAGCAAAGAGCACCTGGTGGATGTCGCTAACGCCTCGCTTGTAATGCCCGTCTAGAAACCTTGACAGCTAGTGACGGAGGTTGTCTCGTCTCCTGCCACGACGAGGGAAGAGGGGCAGGAGGAGCTCCCCTTTTCCCGAGAATGCCTTTTGTGTGTCGCAGAAGTCGCTATTGTCCCCCTACAAGATTACAGAAGATTAACCCGTCACTCAAAATTCGTACAAAAGCAGCCGCTTCGGTGGCTGGAACGACTAGGCCATCCTCTCGACGTCAGCCTCGCCGTAGCTTTGCTCGTCTTGAGACGACCTACGTCACGATTGCGTTGGATGTCACGTGGTCTCCGCTGGGCCTTTTCCGAGCGCTTGCCAGAGCGGGCCGTTTATAACGAAAAATACAGCCACCAAGCTCAAAATACAAACGTGCGATTGTCATTTACGGATATTGTGGATCATATTCAACCTATTTTTTAACACGACGGGAATATTTCAAATTTCGTTGAAGTATCCCTTTGAGGTTCAAGTAGTTTGAATAATCCAAATTATAATCACCATTAACTATATTGTTCTGCCTTACAGCGACGTCAAGAAGGGAGCGCTAGACATTATGGAGCGCACGCGGTCTTCCATCCGAAAAGTGGTGCCCTGCAATGTCCTGGAACCCGGAGTACTCCCAGAAGAACACGGGGAAGCCTTTGACGTCGTCCTTTCTTGCAACTGCCTGGAAAGTGCGACGGTAGACCACGAATCCTTCCGCAGGGCGGTTCTCAACGTAGGATCACTCGTGAAACCCGGCGGTTTGCTTGTTTTGGGTGGTATGGGAGGCCTAGACAGCTATTTCATGGGAAACGCTGATTTCATTATGGCAAACGTAACCAGTGACGTGGTTAAGGAAGCGGTGACAGACGCAGGCTTCGAGATAAATGAATATCTTACCATGGACATTGACTTGAGAGGAAAAAATGACGCGTTTATGTTCATTCTGGCGGCTCAAAAACCTTGAGTCGGACAATGACACCCCGACATCACTCTGTGCGGTGTACCTCCCTTGACCACTTCTACGTAGCCTCCTCCGCGACATGCATTCAAAGATCGAGTAAATGTTTTATAGCTTACCACTACAAAACCAAACCTATTCAAATCAAAACAACTTCTTTTTTTTTTTTTTTGACGGAAAGGACAAATTTTAGAGAAGTCTGCCATTCTGGAACGTTATGCGAGTCACCGGCACACGTGCACTTAAGAGAAGAACAACATACCAATTTTCAAAAGTTTCGAAAATAAATGTACGTCCAGTTCGAAATAAACACATCTTCTTACAACAATACTCCGTTTCAAAAAAGTTATGTTTCTTTTATACGCCTTCTTTGCTCTTTCCCCAACGACCTCCCCATTTTCGAACATTCCGCTGAGGTTCTGGTAGAAAGTTGGCGAAACGATTTTCGAAAATTAATTATTTATTGAAGGGGCGATGCAACGATAATTGTACTTTCATCAAATACCGCTTAGAATTAATCCTTGGTGTTCATAACCTAAAAACGCGTGTTATTTGCTCTTTACACACAATAATAAAAGACGCAGAAGAAAAAAACACGTATTGCGTTTACTCTTTTAATTTGTACCCAGAAGATGTTCCATGACTCGGCGCCGATTATTCGCGATTTTATCGCGAATAATCGGCGAATAATGACCTATACCCGAAAACCCCTAAACTGGACGGCAAAGGACCTTTCGCGATTTCTGCCCCTTTCTTGTGGCTTCTGTGATTACATGTTGTCGGCGGTTGCCGCGATGGGACAGTTTTCCCGGTCACTCTGTCGTTATTCTCGTGTTTAAGCGGGTTTCACATGCAGCGATTCCGCGGCCGAAATCGCTGCCGCTAGCGGCGCGGCGACACGGATCGCGAGGTTTCATTTCACGTAAGTGTTTGATGCCCTTGCGATGGTTGCGATGTCCATTGTGCGCATGCGCACAGACGGTTACAGCGGCTTCTAACAACAATTTTAATGCCCTAGTTTTCACTTCCACCTTTAATTTCAACTTAATGAAACACAAAAAAGCGTTTAAAATACTAAATAAACCTTAGTCTTATTTGTTTATGTTTTTTTTTCTAGCTTTGTTGTCGCGGAGGATAAAAGTTGAAACATCGGATCTACCTCGGCAGCGTCACGGGCAACGCCTTCCTCGGATATAAAAACTCCAACTGATATGGCCGCCCCGAACCTCCTGGACCCGAACCTCCTGGACCCGAACCTCCCGTAGTAGTACAGTAGTTTCATACCCGTCTTGTCGATCACTTTCGCGGCCTCAGTCACCTCTTCCCAGAGTTTCTCTTTGGTCCCACTGTTCCTAAATTCTTTGAGCTGCGCATTCCAAAGAACCCAACGCTTCGACGCTTCATTGATAGTTCATTGATAGTGATAGTGATAGTGATAGTACTTTATTGCACTTAAAAGTTTGTGGTGCCGTTCGGTGTGCAGGTGAGGAGGGAAAGGCGTGCGCCCATACACATATTGTGCCCCTTTCACCAACCGGACGGCGCTATGAGGACTATTTTAGTTCTTATGAGGACTAGTCTAGACAAAAAGAAAAAAGAAAACACATACGCTCTCTCTCCCTCACACACGCACGCGCGCGCCCACACGCACACGCACGCACGCACGCACACACACACACACACACATACACACACACACACACACACACACACACACACACACACACACACACACACACACACACACACACACACACACACACACACACACACACACACACACCGGTGATTATGCTATTGTCCGAGTAACTGTTCTACACAACTCGCGGATGTCGTCTCGGTTGCAGGGGATTGACTCCGTGAGGTGGTGTGGGAGTGACCTCCAAATTTCTGCAGCACGCATTAGGCACGATGTCTTGTGGCGCAAAGTTCGCGACAGTGGAGGTTGTAGTCGGCCAGTTCGCTTGTTGAGGCGAGGTGGGGAAGGCACGTCAGGGTGGCCAGCACCCATCATTAGGCAGAAGAGCCTGATCGAGGCTACGTCTCTGCGGTGTTGCAGAGTCCGCCACTGGGCGTACTGCAGGAGTCTGGTAGTGGAAATATCTCTGGCGGCAGTGTGGTGCGACGAGGGGGAATCTCGTCGGTACAGCGTAAGGGCTGCCCTCCGCTGTATGGACTCAAGAGATTTCTTATGCGTTGTTGAGGGGGGGGTCCCAGATAGCAGAACAGAATTCCAGCTGCGGGAGTACCAGCGACGTGTATAGGTGCCTGAGTGGTGCGGCTGGCATGCCGCGCGTAACTTGGGTGACGAAACCCAGTGTCCGCCTCGCACGTGAAGCAGTTCCCTGGATGTGGCGACTAAAATCGAGGCGCTCATCGAATGCGACTCCGAGCAGTTTTGTGTGAGTGACACGAGAGAGTTCGGTGCCACCTATTGCAAGGGGTGGGGAGTGTGAGGGCTTAGCCAAGGACAGGCTGACTGTCATGCTAAGGCATTTTGTAGGGTTTAGTGGGAGGCTGTGTGTTACGGACCACCTGTAACAGGTATCGAGGTCGTTTTGAAGGGAGGTGACTGCGTCCTTAGAGATTCCTGGTTGTATCAGAGAGAGGTCGTCTGCGTACAGTATTGCCTTAGATTTCAGTCCATCGGTGATGTCGTTTATGTACAGCGAGAAAAGTGTAGGGCCAAGCACACTGCCCTGCGGCACACCGGCGAGCACAGTACAGGGTGACGAGAGATGACCGTGGAAGGCAACTCGCTGGGTTCGATTCCTGACAAAGTCCATTAGCCAGTTGGCCAAGGAACCCTCAATCCCCACTTTCTGGAGTTTTTTAGGGAGAAGTGCGTGGTCGATACGATCGAATGCTTTTGAAAAATCCAATTGTACTAGTTGGCAAGGGATGCGCTGGTCTAGGTGTGAGCTAAGCATGTGAACTGCTACTGCCAAGGCAGTGTCGCAGCTGCGTCCCCTTCGAAATCCGTGTTGTGCCTGATTTAGCAAGCCATTGTCCTCCAGGTGGTTCAGGATTTTTGTATTTACTATTCTTTCCAGTGTGCGGCTCACAACTGAAGTGAAGGCGATGGGGCGATACGAATCAATATTGTTGGTGTCAAGTCCATTACCTTTGTGGATGGGTGTTATGATGGATCTCTTCCATTGAAGAGGTACGGTGCCAGAGTCGACTATGCGTTGAAACATGTGGATCAGGATGGGCTTGATCAGAGGTGCGGAGAGCTGGAGAAAAGCAGGATGCACTCGGTCTGGTCCAGGGTTCTGTGCTGGGCGAAGGGAGGACAGTGATTCCTCCAAGTCTTCTTCGGTAATGGATAGGGATGACAGAGAGGCTCCAGGTGGAGGGGACGACTCGGGATTAGCTGGGTGGGAGGGGGAGGCTTGGGGAGGTACGAGAGGCATTCGGGGTAGAGGTGAGGCGGAAGTCATGTGGGGAGACCAAATTGAGGAGAAGTGTTCACTAAACAGAGAGGCTATAGTGGGGGGGTCTGATACAAGTTTCTGGTTGTGTTTGAAGACTGGGTGGCCAGGTGAAGAGGACTTTCTTTGGGATTTGACGTAGGCCCAAAACAGCTTGGGCTCTTTGGCTGCTCGGGCTGCAATGCTGGTGACATACTCCTGATGAGATATGTGTACCAGCCTCTTTATGTCTTTTTGCAAACTTCTCGCTTCAACGTAGCTAGATGTACAGTGTCGCTTTCGAGCACGATTGAAGAGTAGGCGCTTTCGTCTTGCAAGTTTTACAATGTCTGTGGTGATCCACGGAGGCCTCTTTTTCTTCGAGGCTGGCGAGTGAGGAACGCATTCCGTCTGGATTGCAGTCATAAAGTCAGTCCAGAGCTCGTACATTTCGTGGGTAGAGGGTTCAGACAGCACCATCGACCAGGGGGCAAGGTGAAGGAGCGCGCGTAGGTGGGAGAGATCCGTCTTTCCATACCGGTATATCATTTGGGTGAAATGTCCTTGGCGGGGGAGAGACGTGTAACATTCAATGTGTATAGCCTTGTGGTCGCAGCCGACCAGACTTTCCTGTGCGTAGCAGTCCAATACAAGGGTAGGGTTTGTAGTGAAACAAAGGTCAAGTTGTGACTCATTGCCGGCAGCTGACCGGTATGTGGGGTCGCTGCAGAGCTGGACGAGACCGGCAGTCTCTACCATCTCAAGGAGCTGCTGGGATGCTGGGTCAGCAGCTATAGGCGACGATAGGTCTCTCCAATCAATATGCACATTGAAGTCACCTAGTAGGTAAACACTTGCATAGGATGTGCCGAGTTCCAAAAGTCTGTCGATAGAAGTCTGGAGAGAACCAAAGCTCGAGGAGTGCGTGTTTGGGGCTATGTAAACACAGGCCAGAAGGAACTTGCTGCGGGGAGTCCGCAATTCTACGAAGACAGCCTCAAGGTTATCCTGCTTCAGGTCGGCTCGGCGCTGACAGATGATATGAGACGGGGCGAGCACCATTACTCCGCCCCCACGGGAGGTAGAGCGGTCTTTGCGAAAGATCTGGTACCGGGTAGTGTCGGCAATTTGGCCGTCGCGTGTCGTTTCATCTAACCACGTTTCAGTGAGGGCGAACACTGTGTCGTCTGTGGACTCGAGCATGGTGTTAAGTTCAGGCAGCTTGTTTTTAATTGAACGCACGTTAGAGTACCAAAAGTTTAGGTGCGTTGCACGCTCTCTTCGTGGCGTGGACGGGCTGCGGTCATTTGTTCGTGGGTTCCGAGGTGTAGTAGATAAGGGAGCTGCGGGGGACTGTTGGGCTACTGTTACGAATAGCTCGTCCTCAAAGCGCGGGAGCTGGCATGTGCCGCAATACCATTCCTCGGGAGATGAGGAGAGACGGCGGTAGGCCGAAAGCGGGAGGTACTCGCATTTTCGGTGCACCCAGAGTTGACACTTGTCGCACTGTAGTGCGGCCGTGTTGCCCTTGACGGCCCGGGCGCAACGAGGGCACGAATGCCTTGGTCCGGGGTTTAGGGAGATGTCTCCGGCAGCAAGTAAGAGCCAGACGACGTGCGGTCGGGCGGACGTGAGGTGCGGGCTTTTAGGCCTAGTGGCACTTGAGGCTACGGCGTAACCGACGGTGGTGCCGACGTTACACAGGAATAAGGGCCGGCAGTTCAGTCTCTGGCGGAGCCCGGAGCATTCACGTTGAGAGGCGTCGGTGAGAAACAAGGCACGCAGGCGCGAGTAGATCAAAAAAGCAACAAGTAGACGTAGCCAAGCGCACACCGTGCCAGCGGCCATCGCAGAGGCAGAGCGACGTTGGGCGCGATACATTTTGTCTTACTTGGTGTGACCGTCTGTGTTGGAAAAGACACGTGAATGTCGCTCAGTTCTTCTTCTTTCGTTTTTCTCACTAGCGCTCGAACAAGCCGCTTCTGATTAACCTCTCCTGCGCTCGCTTCAGTTGGTACTCGGGCGAGGAAAGTAAAGAAGAGCCGCGTAATTCATTGAGAAAACAAATTCCGAGGAAGGGGACAGCAATCCCCCTCCTCCATAATCTTCTGAACAGTTCCGAAGCGACTGCTGAAGAAACATGAAAGCTCGACCCGTCGGAAAAAAGAAACCGCAAGCCAGTCGCTTGCGTACTTTTTCTCTGCTTGTCGTCTGCTTCAAGAACGTGAAAACGCCGCCGTACTATGCCCCAGCTTTCCCGCAACGTTTCTCTTCCTCTCACGTGATTTCCCGCCACGCTGTGAGTGGTCTGTGCGGAAGCTGCCGCTCTGCCGCGGCGAAACATTTTCAACCTGGTGGAACCATGCCTCTCAGCCGCTGCGACGGCAGAAATCGCGCCGCTCTACAGTCCAAAATCGCTGCATGTGAAACCCGCTCAAGCGTGTTGCTTAGGTCACTCTGAAAGCAACCTACGCAACCGCGTGAACCAGACATTTAATCAGCGTTCGTCAGCGGGGTAGAAGGACAGTGGGCAGCCCTTCCATCGCGTTCCCAAGGAAGGCCAAGCCTCTGGAAGCTCACTTACGCCAACACATTGCAGCAGGTTTGAAACGTAGAGTGAATAAAAATTGGAGCAAACCTTTTGCGAGTCTAATGCTTGCCTACTGAAACCCGAGCGTTGTTCGTTGGACTGGCACTTGACATATGGCACGACCTGTTTTAGACCGCCATATTTACCCGATAGTGGCGACCCCCATAGGTCGCTAAAGTCGCCGGTGATGTCGCTTGTCGAGCGTTTTCAGCACACGTCTCCACCGGACGTTGAGCTGTTCTTGCCTGATCTAATTAAAATATGATATGCCGATACTGTGGAGCAACTACTATTGAGACCTAGGAAGACGTCATGCAGTGGTGGAATGACCACCAGGTTGAAGGAACAGGGCGAACACGTCACAAAAGGAGGAAAAGAAAGCGATGGTGGGATGTAAAGGTGAGTGACGCCATAACAAAGAGGAAACTTGCATGCAGGACCCTTAGGTGCACAATCGAAAAAGGAGAGAAACAGGGAAACCTATAAGAAAAGATTCCGAGGGAGTGGATGGCATACCAAAGCAGAAAAACAGAGGTGACAGATCCCAAGCAAAATGACCAGGGTAGACAGAGTTTCCTGGAGGAACTGAAAAAGGAAGGACCACAAGCTCCAGTAAAGTTCTGGCGAAATGTGCGGAGCCAAACGGGGCATACCCAGGAAAGACCCGGTGATCAAAGAGGACGCAGCAGGAAGAGATGTCGACGCAGGCGAGACCATCCAGATAGTCGAGGGGAGGGTTAAAGAGATGTTTACAGGGAGCAGCACGGAAACCGAGAACGAAGAGAGCGGGTGTGAAGGGGTATATGGAAGAGCAGCCAAGCAATGAAAAAATCACAGAAAGAGAGCGGAAGAAAGCAATTAAGAGAGTAAGAGGGACCAGGGGTTTCCCCAGGATTCTAATCAAGGGGGGGTTTCCCAATGGCTCGGGAAGGGGGGTGTCCCAATGGCTCGGGGGGAGGCGATGCGAGGCGAGGCTAGATAAAATATAAAACTGTTTCTTTTTTTAGTCCACTAGCTAAATTACAGACGTCTATTAACCAAATGCTCATACCCGTAGTGAATGTTTCCCTTTCTCTATATATACACCTGAGAGGTGGTGTTTTCTACTTAATCTGAAAAAAAGAATTTTATTTTCTTTTTTTTTAGATTCAAGGGGGGGTGTTAAGAAAAACTAGGGGGGGTCAGGGGAAATCCCTTGGAGGGACCACAGCCACAGGTATGAACGGAGTCCCAATGAGGCTAGTGAAGGAGCTGGGGCCGGAAACAAGAAGAATCCTACCGCGAACCTTGAGCCAGGTAAGGACGGAGAGAAGAGTTCGAGATGGAGTGGCGAATGTCACGACTCCGCCTAACCTACAAAGCAAGGAAACTAGGACGTCCCTGAGCAACTATCGTCCAGTGGCAATCACACCAGTACTGTACCGGGTGTGGATTCAGGAGATCCGGGATAGACTTCAAGCATGGGCGGAGACACAGGGGTCCCTTGGGGAACTCCAAAAGAGGTTCCCGTGGGGAAGGCGCCTGGAAGACATTATCTTCATCCTGACAAAAGCAATCGAGATCGCCCAAAGAGAAGGCCGGCCAATATACCTTTCCTTCTAGATATCGGCAAAGCAGACGACACAGTGAACCATGAAATTGTGGAGGCAACTGGCAGAGCGAGGACTCGGCAAGGATTGGATCGACCTGCTGAGGAAGGTGTGTACAAAGAAACTAATCTGGTGGCACAGTGGCGACAAGAAAGTAGAGACCCCGTGGCCGGGAACAGGGGGCTGAAACAGGGCTGCCCGCTATCGCTGCTGTTATCCATGCTGTCCATCGCAGGAATAAATAGAAAGCTGTAGGAGAGCTCCAAGGGCATTTTCCTGCAGTACATGGAAAAGAGAGCCAGGAAAGGGGGGGGGGGGGGGGGGGGGGGCGGTCCGGGGTCTCTTCTACGCAGACAACATCGTGCTGATGGTGGACACGCTACAGGACCTCCAGGTCCTCATGACTGAGTTTTGGCGAATGGGGTGCAGCCCTGGGATTGGGATTCAGCGCTCGGAAGTCGGCACCGATAAGTTTCGGGGGTGAATTGGAACTCGAGACCGACGACCTGACCACCCAGGATAGGAGCAATGCAAGTAAGTATCTGGAAGTATCCCGCTATAAAAAAAAAAAGAAAAAAAAAAGAAAAAGAGTATAGGTCCCATCAGTTTAAGCAACAAAAAGAAAGACTGGAGTGCTGGTGTAAGGCGAAGAAGCGGAGAAAGTCGGAATTGACTATTCGGAAGTGCAATGAGGGACGGCGGGGCTCGGGCCGCGGCGGGCGCCGGCGGATTTTCCTCTTCAAGAGGGGGGGGGTCTCAATTTTTTGTTCTGTAGCCCGTGAAAGCGCGTCTCCCGGCACGAGCTCTTGGCATTGACAGTGCTACGGCGACAGTCAGTCAGTCAGAAAACGTTTAATGCCATAAAAGAAAAAAGTAAAAGAAAAAAAAAGGGAAGAAAAGAGGGAAGGGGGTATGAGGGAGTGCGCCGGTGATATCAAGATCTGGACGCTGGCATTAAGGAAAGGTAACTAAATCTAAATGAATATGTCCCGCTTGGCCTCATAGATAAAATCCAAGAGACCTTTCAAGACTCTTCGTCTGTCACACTCGGAGCCTGGTGGATGTGTCCACCCCTCCATAGATGCGATGTCTGTTGGTCGATGTCTTGCCCTTATGTCTTTGTACTCTGGACACTCCCACACCAAGTGAAAAATGTCTGCCTTCACGCCCATATTGCACTTGGAGCAAGTTCCGGATCGTTTTCCTTGGCTCCAAGATGCGGTGCGCGCTGGTGTTAGTGCGGTGTCCGTCCTCACTCGAGTCAGGAGAACTCTCGCCCGTCTTCCAAAACCCGTGCAAGGGAGCGGATCTGGGTTTTCGGGGAGCTTCTCTTCGAGTTTTGCTAGATAGTCTTCTCTGATCTTGGCCCGAACCTCGCCTGGATCATATTCGTGTGGTTCCCAGTTGGCCTGTGCCCGATCGCGAGCGTGGCCGTACCCGTGGTCATGTTGTGATGCAGGTATGTCGTCTGAACCGCGGGGAAGAATAAGCGACGCGCGGGCCAGGCAATGTACCTGTTCGTTGCCGGGTATGCCCGCGTGACCGGGAACCCATGCAATTCTTGTGGAGGTGCCTCTTGAAGCTAGTTGAGAAGCAAGTTTTTTTATCGAGCGGACTATCCGGCTTGGACTGTTCCTTATTCTACATTCCTTCACCGCCTCTTGCGAATCTGTAAATATCCGGAGATTCGTTGTTAGCGGGTCGGGGAGTGCGAGGACCGTCTCAAGGGCGAGGCGGATTGCTGTGAGTTCTCCTCCTTTGGTCGAGGCGCCTTCGGGGAGCTGCTTGGTAGCGCTGATTTGTAGGGCAGGGATGGCTGCAGCTGCCGTCTTCAGGGTGACGGGGCCGTCTAGCGATGCGGTATCCGTGTAAGCAGCCATGATGCAACTCGGATCCCATGCTTCTACCATCTTAGTGTGCGCCTTGGCTTTACGTGTTAGCTGCTTGGTGTCCCCCTTGCGTGCACTAGGCTTGTTGTCGGTGATCTCCGCGAGGTCTTCCCATGGTGGAAGTTGCTCGGGTAG